AACGAACTGAATACTTCACAAAGGCTGTTGCAGAAAGTTCAATGAATATGAAAACTCGTATTGAGTTGTCAATGTGAATTTACCGCTTATTCGACTCTATCGTTCCCAGATTTTACTGCTCAACCTCGTGTAAATCTCATTGTCGGTTGAATACGAGTAGATTTTTAGGTGAAACAATTCGTTCTACCCTCTTGTTTATTCCCTACACCAACCTTTCTCTTAGACCAACTGGAAGCGTAATTTATTGTGAATTGTAGCACATATCATGTACACATCATTTATAATATGTGATGTAGAGCTAAATACAGGAAAGAACCACATTGATCTAGTAAGAACCAATAACTAGGTGTACAATGCAGTTATCTGCTTGCAATAGCGGAACTAGCATATTAATCCTGCAATAAGCTTATCTACTTGCAGCATCCTAAACCAATGGTTCATTTGATTCGCATAAATGGAGTGCCAATTTGCAGTATACGAAGTCAATGGTATGTCTGGTTCACGTCAATGGAATGGAATGTCTACTTGCAGTCTCCAAAATTCAATGGCATCTTTGGTTCACATTAATGGATTTTTCCTATTTGCAGTACCTATTCAAAATCTGCATTAATGGTACGTCAACGTCACATAAATGGAATCGCTAATTGGAGTATTTAAAGTAAATAGTGCGTCAACATAATTCCGGCGACCCTAATTATTCATTTTGTAGTAAATTATGCTCAATGTTATTAATCTAATTGTTATACTCTTTTTCTCTGTACAGTATTTGCAATGTACTATTTTAGACGATTCGTAGACTAACATATGTTGCGACTCTTGTTTACTTTTTTTGTTATCTAGCAAAAAATGTCATGACGACCAATTAACCCATAAGGCCCATGTTAAATTTCTATAAGTTTTACGGAGGGAAAAGCCCTGTGGTCCGATTTGTTCAATTTCAGATTTATACCTTCCCATGGTTGGTTACTATCACTGTGCTGAATCTCGTGCATATCGCTTCAGCCAGGAGGAGTATTTGTAAAACAAAAGCTGGAGTGTAGTATAGGAGCTTCGCTTCGCTCTGATCAATTATTATGCCAAAACGATTGATCACACTTAACGTAGATAGAAAGATTAAATTAAAATTATACTCAAATTTTTAATTGAATAAATTTTACCAATTCAGAAAGTAGCTGTTTTCCTCTAATAGACTTATCCGCTTATAGCTGAACTTACAGATTGTCGTTATATCGCATACATAAAAGATGTGGCGATTGCTGGGATTCGAACATGTGCCGTAAGGTCAGAGGTTTCGCACTACCTGTGTAGAACATTCTGCTTCACAAGCAACAATAAACACATGTTTAGGTGTAAAAGTTGTAAACATTCAGAGGTATTATTAAGCTGGATATCCAACATCCACTGTTGTGAGAGGATCGATGAATGTGAAAACGCGTGTTGAGTTGTCGATGTGAATTTGGTCGACCCTTCAGGCCTGTTATTTTAGGTCTTCACTCAACTATAGTTCGGCCGCTTAGAAAGCAACCTCCTCCAGCATTGGTTTAGCATTAGCACGCAGGTCGTTTTCTAAGCGGCCGAACTATAGTGACAATCTCAATGTTAGTTTAGTTCATGCAATATGCATTGCATTTATGATTTTTATAACACAACTGTCTATTGTAAATAGAATATGATGGCAGGTTACAAAAAAAACAGAGTTTTGAAGGTTTCTCTAATTAATGACCTTCGTTTAGAACATAATTATTGTCCTTTATTTCATCATTTTTGTCCTACAAACACAGCACGTATGGTATTTTTCGATATTTTTATTCATCAAACAAATTTTAACAGTAATCCTTAGAATTATTGTGTATACAATTTCATACGTACATTACATTTGTGTTGAATTACATTTGTATATCCTATGAATAATGATATTAATTAGTTTGGTTGGTGATTGTGTTTCTAATTTTCCAATTTGTTAAGAATGGATATGTCGTATGGTCTGGGGGCGTATGCTCAAAATCAAGACTTTGTTTTGTTCACGACATATTTTGCCAGTTTTTTTTTTTATTATATTATTATAACTATACATTTTTATTTTGATAATGCAACAAGCATTAACCTGTAAAATATATTTTTTTAAGTAGTGTTACCCATAAAAAATGTATTATCTGGTCATTAAGGCACGACCATTTACTGCCTTCTTGTATAGGATGTAGGTAATTTGGTAATTTCGGTGCAGATTGCAGATAAACATAATGGAGGTAACATAGCGCAAAGTAAAATGAAGAATTCATGGTTGTGGGTGAGATTAACCCCACCTGCGATATGACTGGTCGGAGTTCGGTAGTATTTTGAACAAAGCAATTTTATACAATGAAGATGTTTTCAAACACAATTTCCGTGTTGGATTCCAATTCTGAAATATGTTTGTCTAGTGTGCACACGATCGTTACTTCGTTGAGTCTACGCTTACTCAACACACCAATCTAAAATGTCAAAGATTTTCTGTAAATAAAGTCATACAATCTATCCAAATGTAACTGCAATTTCAGATGGAATACTTATAAGAGAAATATTTATATAGAGATATAAACCATATTCCAGATTTACTTCTTACATCAAACCCCGCATTCATCCTTCCAAAGAGTAAAGATAGTGTTATTACCACCGCAGGGTGAAACTCATTCCTTACTTCGGTACTTATTGATCGCTTCTATACTTCTTTGAAATGTTTCCTAAATTAACACCTTATTTTATTACGAAAACGATTCGACGTTAGGAAATATACAAATTTGTTAGATTTTTAGTAAAGGTCAATCATAATTGATAATTTTTAATTTGAGTTTATTTGAAAGTTATACATGCAGTTACTATTTGAATGTGTTTTGTTGAATATAATACGCTTAATGAAGTACATCTGTTATGATAAGCGCTTTAAAGTTTGTTTTATTTTAGGAGGGAATTGAACCCGGAACCTCGGCACCGAAATGCTCTACCATTAGAGCAGCTCGCCCCCAGTGTATGCTCGTCCTAGTATAAGCTAGGAGTGTATACGTTTTTTTTAACATTCATTTATCAGGTTAAAAGGAAAATTATTATTTTCCTGTTATTTCAAGAGTTTTAATAACTCAAGAAAATACGTAAAAAAAATTATTTTTCGTACTAAAAGATTACAATTATAAATTGAGTCATAGTGAAAAATTACCGAAAGCAAAATGTTACATTTCTTAGTAACATTCATTACTTTAATAAAGTTTTGAATCAATACCTAAAAATTATTGCGAAGAATTGCACAGGAATAATGAATTTCTTATTATAAATTAACTCTGTTTACAATTTAAAAAGATTGGTTCACACTTAAAACCCACAGTTTTCAAAACAATTTTATGACCAGTAAACCGTTATTGTTTTAACCGTGCATATTTACCCTATAAATTCTCATAGAGTAACACTACGACTCTTTACATTACCATAAAATGTTCTTAACGCCCAAAATAAAGGATTTGTTTTTATAATGTATTAACCATTTTACCTATTGTCCATTTCTGGTTTTGAAATACATTGATAGAAACATTTTGAGAGTATTTTGTTAAGTTCGTCCCACCAAGTATAAGTACATACGAATAAGATAAACCATTATATAAAGCTAATTTCTCATTACTCAATTAATTGTAAGTTGTACCAATGGTTGTACGTTTTTCTATAGCAAAACACTTTGTTTTTGTTGTTGATTATTTACAAACATGTTGAATAAATATCAAATGCGAGATTGATTCATTGATGGGATTGAACTACCCGAGGCTCAAACTGTACATGGGGTATCCATTTACTTTATTGATTTAGGCCAGTACCATTCGGGTAGTCCATTTGCATTGGACTGTAAAAATAAATACCGCCTAAGTTTAAATCCCAAAGCCGAACTACAAATATACTCGTACAAAACATTTTACATATACAATTTTTCATTTATTCAGTAGTTTTATGGTCATATTTTGAAATTCACTGTTGATATAAAATAATATTGCTGTATTGTAATTACTTTACAGTTATGGGGGAGGTAAAGTTATTTCTCTTGCTATTGAAATATTTCATTACTTTTGAAACGACATAATACGAAATGTTTTACCAGAGCATTATGTATGGTAATTTATAAGTTGTTATTGGTTTTGTTGGAATATTATTCGTATTAATCCGAATATTTAAAAACAAAATACAATAGGACTGACTTGTATACTCATTGCAACTTTTATTTTTGTTTTATAATTAAGGTAAGCCTGCATCGCTTAATGATTAATTGAATTCGTATGTATATTCATAAAGAAATAAAGCAGTTTTTTTTTTATTTATATACTAACACTCCTATAAGCACAATACGCTAAAAGACTTAAATAACGCGCTGTTGAAAGAAAAAATACGTATTCTCCTTTTATTAATTTTCCTAAAAACCTCAGCAAGCCCTTCCTAAGGTTTCTGATTTACGCGGTACTCGACATGGTGTTTTTTAAAGAGCAGCTTGTTAATGACTAAAATCAGATATACTTTTAGCCAGAACCAAATATTTAAAGCCCTGCATGGACAGCCGGGTTCAGTTTCGTATCATCAAAAGTTCATAAAACTTCGAGTTTTATCACCACCCAAGAACCAAGGCTGATTCACATGGACAAACCAGTGGCGGCCCAGTAATAAGTTAAACTCCGTTGCCACAAAATTTAGGTAGTTCAAGCCCCACCTTGGTGGGGCGATTATATACCCTCCACCTCAACGTAACTTAAAAACAACAACCGACAGCTGATTGACTGATATATTGATTAATCTAAAAAGGGGTGGGGGAACCCAGAAAAACTTCCTCTTAAAGCCCCTAAATTTTGTGAACAGACTATAGCGCAAGCTATTAATTTCAAACTTTCAATGTTTACCATCAAGGCTACCGAGCTAACCACTACACTGAACTGTTGGGATCGGGGTTGAGGGACTATTATTGAATAACATATATCAAACTACAAGCTCGCACTTACCTCTTCTTGGTTGCCGAGACGCCTGGATATCCTATCCTGGATTGGTCCAGAAGCTGTCGGGACACAATGGAGGGAACGGCGAAACCCGATTTGGCGGGTGAATCCCAGCGTGCTGGAACATGCGTTACAATCCATTACAATAGTCAATTAAGACTTTGCCTGAAAAAAATTTAGGTTTTTTCATTCAATTTCCAATATTAAACTCTCACCAAAGAACAGAGCCTCTCACTTATATGTCTCGTAAGTTTTAGTTCCAGTTCATTGATGTTTCTAAAAACAACGCGCTTTCTTTTAAGGGAAATCAATTCTGGACCAAGATGTGATTTGCGATTTGGCTATAAATTATAGATACTTTATAAAAAAAATTGACGTAGTCATTAATATGACCTGAATTGGAACGTGGCTTTGATATACGTGAAAAGTATACAATACTTAAAAAAACTATTAATGTATTTGCCTAATTAATTTTTAAGCTTGCAAAACTAACCAACATTAATAAAAGCGTTTGGCTATACCGGACGTAGAGCGTTTCAGACGATTTACAGGGATCTATCATAATTAATATTTATTCAATAAATGATGAGTTTGTTTAAGTATGTAAGTAGGTTGTTGTAGTATTTGTTTTTGTTTTTTGGCCAACATTGAACATTAAACTCAATATTAACAGTAAAATATTATAACTGTGAGAGAAATACAGTTTATACTTGTTGGCTGGTGATTAAAGTTCCAATAAATATTTCTTCTACAAACTCATAATTCTGAATTTTACAAAATTGATATAGAATTTAATACGTAGTTTGTTTGAATCATTTGAAGACAGAAGGATGATCTGTCGACTTTATGTATTTTCACATAATTGGTAGTCCTAAAAACGTTTTAGACCTAGGTTTCAAAAGCATTACCCATTTCCTACAAGTTTTCTTCATTCGAATTAAACACTGTCAACAAGAAATCAACGCTTGCAAGACGAAGTGGCATAAGTACTCACGCTTCTTCGACTTGCAAGTGACGAGATAACCATTAAAAACTAAAAATAAATTTAACAGATTAATTTTACAAGCATTAAAACTCTTCACCATTCGGTATTTTTAGAACCCGTCATTCACCACACAATCTTAACTTTCCCTTTGCTATGCAGTTACTTAAGAAATTGCGCCTAAAAATAACTCAAGAACACCGAGTAAAAAGAGAAAAGGCGGGTCGCACAGAGTAATGAGAATTGTCATTCATATAATGGAGAAGCACGGGAGACGGGACTTTTGGCGGGGTGAAATGCGTGGGAAACTTCCCGGCAATTTGGAAAATTGAAGTGTGACAATAACACTTCCTTTTTTTCTTGTTGTTGAAGACTTTATCTTAAACCTTGCGTTTTACCTATTTTTCATATTTTACTTGATTGAATACACAATTAATTTCAGACATAACCACATTTAAAAATATATCCAATGCAATTCAAATATATCAATAATTTTATATCATGAATTTTGATCAAATACTCCATCAAACTAATTAATTTTGAGTCAACGTTCCTCTTGTGTATCATTAATTACAAAGTAAAAAATCATAAAGAATTTTAGTTAGTACAACTTGTTTTTCATTTTACTGCAACAAGCAATTTCGTACCTGTACCATACCTAAACATGAACAACTGTTTAGTTTAAACATTTCACATGATTAGTGACTATGTTGATCATCATTGGCAATAACTAGTCATATTAAAAACGACTCGCTGTATTGCCCGCTCTTCGCTCGGGACAACTTTTAAATTGTAAAATAAATCCATCCCCTCTTAAATATTGGTACATATCAGGAATAATCATCGGAGGAATTAAACTACCAATTTAAAACTTTATTTATCTAAAAACAATTACGAAACTAACAAGAAGTTCATTTCTACAACAAGAAAAACTACAACAACAAGAAAGAAGTACATTTCTACTACGAGTGTATTTTTTAATGTGTGTAAACCATATTATTGTATTTACACGTATTTAGACACTCTTGCACATCATTCCAAATACCACATCTAGATAATTTTAATATGTTATCAAATCACTTATATAAAACTATTTGAAGTAGGGCGGTAACTATCGGTATCCCTAAACAGTTTACGATGTTTATTGTGGAAAATTCAATAAATTGCTCTGGTCCCTTTCCTACAAGGCTAATTATTTGTTTACAGTTGACACCCCCATAGAAAATCCTTTTTTCAGGTACGAAATATAAAATTTATTCCAGGTAACGTTTGCGACATCCTTAATCTTGACTTTGTCAATCGTCGTGGACACTGTGGGTTAAACACATCCATCAAATCAAGGGATGAACAAGTAAAGTAACAGAATAATCTCTACCAGTGCCTTTGAAATGTAGGCGTGGTTGTGGGAGGCGAACCGAAGACTTTGATGACGAGAATTGTCAAGTTTGTAGTGCTACAAAATACCAACTTTGCTGTATACTTTTAACTGAAATGGTGACCATATGAAGGTAGGTATTTAAAGCCAAGTATGAATGGAGATGAGTGTAGGATGAGTGGCGCGATCTTGTAGTCTTGTTGCTGACTAAAGCCGACATGTTAGACACAACTGTTAATTGATAGTCCATGCAGCCAATGGCAACTAAGGGACTTACAGTTTATAGTGGAATCCGAACCACTTTGCCTTGTAATTTACGAATTCTTCTAATTATCAGGATAGTACTGTGGATAGTAGTACTCACTAGTGTGGCCGTTAATCCACAACAGGGAGTATCACATCCACAGATCATGGCTATAAATATTCACAATTCGTGACCTCCGAGTAGCTGGCTTACAGAACGACGCCACACTCATCTAAGCACAGAACTTTTTACCCACCTCACATTACAAGGGAGTCAAATAACTGAATATGCTAAGGGGAGTCAGGCTAAAAGAACATAACCACACCGATATTGGGGTTTTACGAGTCAATAGCTACGTGACTAAGTTGCTACCCTGTAAATTACGAGTTACAATTTTACTGCCGACATGAGTGACATCGAGGCAATAGTAAACATCGCAAGACCAGGACGTGACGATCCGCTACTTCTGTGGACCAAGTTTTTGTCACTTCGATCTCGAGATTTCTATAAATCCATTCTACAAATACCCATTTTGTGTCGTGGCAATATAGGCTATTTGTGACGTTTGCCCCAGTTATTAAACTACACTTTCAACTTGGAATCTTCTTATACGTATAACTCACTGATCATGGTACGAAAGTACAAATATTTAATGTTTGGTACATTGCACTACAGATTTGGATTGGTTTTAATTCAAAAACTTGTCCAAAATAGCTGTTTATCTCTGTGAATATGGTTTTGATACGCTAAACACGTATCTTAATATTCTTAATATTTATGTGACAAGAGTGGTGTATGGCTTTTAGGGAATGAAGGTTCTCTTCGTCCTTCTTTTGTTTTCCAGATGCAGGGACACCAATACTGCCTTTAGTACCTACTAATATACGTAATAAATTGTTTTCAAGTTAAAAAAAAATTAATCTTCGTCAGTTTGAGTTTTTCCAATGTATAGGGAAATATTCCATGATTAATATCTCGTCAAGAGTTTTTTTTTGTACTGGTTGGAGTAGAGGGAAAATCTCGAAAACAACGAAAGCTCCCCGTTTTGGTGGAACAGTTTTTTGAACAAGTCAAATTAAAAGTTTAAGAAGACATTGAACTACTAGGCTAGGCTCAGAATATGACTTTATCCCTTTGCTTAAGGTCACTTGTTCGTTAGCAGGACCTCCATGACAGTAGCTCTAACCATGGATGAAGGCTCTAACTACAATCAGCAATATCCCAACCTTTCTGTGAGTGATGGAAACAATTAATAGAATTAGAAATTACACACGTTTTGGTATTTTATATTTATGTTTGAAGTGTAAAACTGAAAAACTTTGAGAGATTTATCCATCATAAGTTTGTGCAAACTGTTATGCTAAAATACTTGTCATGAGTCTTTGTGAAATATTTGTGTATTTATAAATAACAGATAGTTCAGCTGTTGATGACAAAGTACTGTAGTGTATAGTTCATGGCACGGGCCAAAAATGTATTTTTGACTCCATCTATCGTTAATCTCGAGCTCGTTTTGAAAAGAATCACTGAGACCATAGTTATGGTCCTCTTCCATCATTTTCCTTTCTTATAGCAGCACTTGAGTTGATCTACAATTAAAAAAATATATTTCATTAACTTAAATTTAAAATTGTTCATTCAAAAGGTCTAACAGTAAATATTGTCTATAAAATGCGGCTTATTTTTACCTGGTATAGAAGCTATCATCCTCACGGTCGTCTATCAGCCTGTCACATGAAGCGGCCAGTGGCTTGAAGCTGTCTGGAAACAGAATTATGAAACAATTATATATCCTTTACTTCAATACAAGGAGATCCAGGCACTGCTGCAAAAGGCATAACTCTGAAAGACCCTGCTCCGAAACTCATTTTTGAAATAGTGCTTTTCGAAGCAGTGCCTGACCATGGAAATTCTTTCGAGCCAGTGCCTCACCCTTGCATTCTTTTTAAACCAATACTTTTCGAAGCTTTGCCACACTCTGCATTGGAAGTAAAGAGTTTAATAATTTATGACTTAATAAATTAATAATTTTATGCTTCTGTCAAAATATAAAACCTGAACTGTTCGTAACCTTAAGATAACGAAGTACAGAAGTTATCATAGGAAGATGGTGGTGACTGCAGTATAGTGGCGATACCCAGTTTCGAACTAGCAATGTCTAGCCATTGACTTTGGATAATGCATGAACACTCAATATGTTATTATTATTTCATTATCTGAGATATGTTCTGACGTGTCTTTAATTTCCGGAAATTATTTTGACATAATATTTTATGTTTCTTCCTCTACTTTACCAATGGTAGAACGTTTAAAGACACAAGTGTATAAGTTATAAGATAAAAATCTAGGCTACGATAAACATTAAAAAGCTTCATCGTTGAAGTCTTTTCTGATAATTTGTATTTATTTATACGTCCCAACCCAACAATGGAGAAGTTGGAGGCAGGGTAAAATTGCGTAGTCGAGAGGTTTCGATTGATTGACTTCGATTGACACCAATTAATTGGTTTCCAGATAGAACGATCTTAGGTGTGAAGTGGCCTATTTTTACTGAAATTTAATTCTGCAACATCAATGTTTTTATTCTCTAGCCCGACATTGTTTTTACATTCCTTCAGGGCCGGAGTTTGTGGTTTTATTACTTAGATCAAATCCCCTAGTGTTTGGCAGGATTTGAACCCGGAAACTTTGAGACCAAAGTCCTACGCTCGACCACAAGACCAGGTCATTCCTGTCCACATAGGCATTAAATCAACCAATCAATTTCAGCCTGATTGTTTATGATTTTTTGGATGAAATAGTTGTTATTTTCTGTTTATAAATCAATATAAACTTCTTGCATGTCGTTGGTAAGACATTATAATTTTTATGTTTTACCTTTACATTTTTCTCACTAGTTACAACCAAATCTTTTTACTACTGAGCATAATGTAAAACCATCTCCTGGTTGAATTATGATTCATTACATTCAAGTGCTAATTCTTAAATTAGTTTTTTGACATCACGTATATTTTTAAGGTAGCTAACCCCCTGAATTTCTAAGTAAAGTTTGCAAACTCAGAGAACATATAATATTATAGAATTGGATAAACTAGTAATGTTAATGATTATACCTACTCAATCAAATAGTGCAGGATGAACAACTTGTTGTATACAAACAAAAAATATTGTTTTGATTAAAACAGCAACTGAAAATTTCAAATAAAAATCCATGAAATTATTAAATACTTTTTAATTGAAAATCCATATATTACTCATTTTGATTGGCTAGTTTCTAAGTTCTCCCAGCTATACTAGTTACTAAAACTGTCTAACGTAACATTACAATTAAATAAACACATTTAAAAGCCCATTCTCTAATCATAAATATAGGAATAATAAATCAAAACACACATTGTGACATCGCTATGTATATTCATAACGCACTGTTTGGAAACAAGTGACACACTACAAACATGAAATACAGAAAACCAAAAACTTCATGTTCAACCTCCAGGGAACTTAGTTCTTCTTCGTCTTCAGACAGTGAATGTAGTAATTATCACTGTACTCCCACTCTATCTCGTACTTCGCCACCACGTTTTTGAAACTCTTAGAAGGGCATAGCAAAAAGTTCGTGTGAGATTTCAAGCTATCATTCACTGCCTTGACTAGCCCCACAGTACCAATCATGGCCGCGTTATCTTCCCCTAAGCTTTCCTCGTACTCTTCCACGATCTTTCTCGACCCAGCGTCCGCAACTTCCACCAACGGCTCCGGAGGACTTAGCTCGACAACCATCACGTTCTTTACTTCCATAACACACTGGGGAGTCAAGTCTTGAGTGCCACGGAAATTGTTGATCTCCAGAATGAATCTGATTTTACTCGGCTTGTTGAACTTGTAACTCACCGGAATCGTAGGAGATGATGTTGAAGGGCCGAGTTTCTTCGCCACTCCAAAATGAACCGGTTCAGGTGTATGGATTAGTTCACACTCGACCTCATAGGTGTACTTCTCTTTGGACTGGAACACCAACTTCTTGTTTAAGATGTCCCCTACCTTGACCTGTGCTGTAGTAGCGGTTGCACACATATACTCGTCTGTTTCCTTGTAGTACATTTCAACACCGGGCAGGTCCACCGTGACGGGAACCAACTGTTGGATCGTCGGCCAAGCTATCTCGATGTACTCCTCCATGTCGAACTCATTGCCGTAGATTTCTTGGAGGAACGCGTGGAAGATTAGCTTGTCCTTTTCGTACTTCCCGTTGAGACATTGTACGCTGCAGATTGCAAGCACCAGAACACAGAGCGACTTCATGTTGCGACTACGTGGTGTGGAATGGTACTGAATTGTATGATTTCATTTGCACCTGTGGTTGCGCAATAACAGCTGTCATCATGATTAGCTGGCAAAACATGGCTGGCAGGGGAATATGTTCGCGCTTGTACAGTAAGCAAATGTATCAAGTTTACAAAACTATATCGATTCTTGAACTGAAATTTTATAAATAAATTGTTTTGTTTACAAAACTTATGTAGCCGTGCATCGTTTGAATTTTTTTTCGAGAATTACATATATATCATATTTAGATACTAATTTAGAAAATGCTACAAACACTAGTGAGCCTACTCTGAATTGAAGTGAAAAAAAAACTATATCCACATAGTTATATGGTTATCTGTAAATTTTTTTACATCTACAGTAATACGCTGCCCTATTATTATAACTAAAGGTCGTCCAGTGGTCGAAAAGTCGACCAAAAATATGTATGTACAGACTTCTCTAATTACACCCCAAGCCATAAATAAAATATGTAATTGGAATTTCTTCCATGGTTCGATTTTCTGTTTATATTACGTTGTTTTTCGTCACCAACATGGCAACCCATAAGGTCCATGATAATATTTTTTAATTTTTAATTCATTTTTTGTGCTAACTTTGAACCTATTTTGATCTATAAAGGGATTTGGGTAGATTTTCCCTACAATGCACACGAGCTGAGAAAAATGGGGTTTAAGAAACATGCTTGCCTATTTGTATATAGGATATGTGTACTTAATTATTGTAAAGTTCAATTTTTAAAACATGCCAGTTCAATTGCTAACTGTTCGGTTCCAAACTGTTGTATTATTTAATTTACTTATGACTTTGATGCTTTAACTACTTATAACTTAGATGCATAAATTTACAACACGTGAACAATAGGAGTGAGGGAAATAATATTGGAATAATCTGAAATAATATAATATTATATTATATTATTTAATATAACTATTTAATATAATACAATACAATCTTTAAATAATATTGGAAATAATATTGGAATATAAAACTGATGGTAGACTTTTAACTGTATCACCTAGCAACCTACTTATGTACAAACCATATGTTGATGATGATTTAGCAGTTGTACTTAACAGTTTTCAATTTGCTGTTTTCAGCAATTTGTTTGTTAGAATTATAAGACTTCTAAAATGTTATGTTGTTCACTCAGTATTAATAAAATAACAATATTGTCTAAGAATCGTGTATGTACTATCCTTCAAAACCCATAGGTTTATAAAACTATAAAATTAAACTCTAAATATATAAACTCTAACTCCATATACTCTAACTCAAAATATAAATTTTCATCCAAATCGATAGAGCTAATTTCAGATTACTAATAAAAATAGGGTGGCCTAAACCAACATTGTTTGATTAAAGTAGTTGGGTTATTTGTATATGTTTAAATAATGGCATTTTTAGTGCTTAGGCCAAGAAAATATTATAAAATTTGCTTTACTCATGAAAAAATATATATATCTAGGAATCTGCTACTAAAACTTGGGTAGTTTAGCTAATTCACATTTTCTAATGATTGACAGCAATAAAACTGATGAAAATTTCATGTATAAATGCGCCACTTGAGAATCACAGACCTATTAAAACAGAATCATTGTAAAAAAAAAATTATCTTTGGATAACATCGATGAGCAAATTCAAAATCAAAATGTTTTCATAAAGAATTATGAATTGATGCTGTGCTGTACTAAGCATTAAAAGCTCAAAGCAAGACGGGTTCATTTATGTTTGGTTTTATCCATTTTTTTAGTTTCTGCAATTATTGTAAGTTTATAAAGTATAAAACTACAAACTGTAAACTGAATCCAACACGTTATATAATATAATATGTGTTGGTCTTAAGAAGAGTTTTCAATACCTACAATATATTAATAATATTTGATATTTTGTACATTGCTTCTGATTGTGTTTTACCCCATGGTTAGTGTAATTTTTACCATAAGAACTTTACCATATCTCCTCTTATAAATCTAATTCCACTTGCGGATAAATTAACTATATCAATGAGGACGGTATTAAAAAAATAGACAACAAAGCATGCATTGCTGCTTATTTATTTTATTTCAAAATTCCAATCTTAACTTTATGCAACGCTCCTTTTAAATAATACTGATTAAACAAAATTATACATCTTTTCTAAATAACTAGACATATTATTCTTCAATAGTTTAGTTGTAGATGACTATGAGGTATTCTGTTAAGGTTACGTTTACACAGCCGTTTATTCATTTACCTTGAGGATGGGTTTTATAGGTTGCATACCAATGACTTAAAGCTGAAACTACACATAAAATAAATTCAGTTGCAAACCCCATGTACACCAAATTGTTCTAATATTCTTAATTAGGCTCTCAATTATTGCAGTTGTCTCAGAGGTGGCTATGTTATTGGTCGTCGCTAATGTTGTTACAGCCCCTAACAACAAAACCAGC